TGGGCAATGGTCTATAATGCAGAACAACTCCGATGGTCTGAGGAGCGTAAGCAAACCAAGAAACATGCAGAGGCCGGTTTTTCTGCCCCATTTGTCGAGGGATTACCCGAGTGGTATATTCAAAAGTTCATGGACCGAACTATCACTGCGAAACAGGCGTCAAGCCTAGAGGTATCTCTGCGTAGCAACCAGCTGAGGTCAACTATATCGCGATGTTCACCACTTCTGCCACTGAATATCTTTTAGTTGGTTCAAGCACTTCGTTTCGATACAAGGGACTTCTGTGCTTGCGCAAGCACTCGCCCAGATATCAAGGAAGGGCAACAAGAGGCCAGTAAACAATTTATTTGACTTCTCGTTGCCTCCCTAAATCCGGCTATCAGGCGGCACGAGGATATTCAACTAGAGTTCGGCATTGCGAAGTGCATAAAGACAATCCTCAACAACCACGTGAGTTCAAGATGCCATTTCTGTATAGCTAAGCTAACGTAGCTGTTAGTTCGGTTCGCAGGAAGCATATACCCACCCAGCGATCATCAGCCAAGTCGCTGCGTCGTTAAATACCCCACACCTCCCTACCAGGAAGGCGATAGCGGATGTCTTGGTCTTTTTCATCTACGAACGAGACTTCCAGGCATTCCCCCTGGTCATCAGTGGCCTCGAAGCTCTTAGCACCTCGAATAATGAAGTCGCAACACCATACGCGTACTGGTTTAAATCAATGGAGCAATCCTTCTCCGGACGGGGTGTCATGGGAAGCTTGGTTGGGGCCAGCGACGAAATTCGTCGAGCTGGTGGTCCAGATAGCTCGATGAACGATTACGCTGTTCGTGACCCTTCTTTTCGCAGCCCGAATATGGTCTTTGACATACTTCTAGGTCAGCTGCATGATCATGATGAACGGTATCCTAGTTGGCTGCAATGACTTGGATCTTCGCATACATCACCGTTCGCAGATGGAGGCTGCTGGTTTGCACCGGATCCTGGAACTTCTGCGCGAATTTGGTCACACGCCGCTCGATAAACTCCTGAAGATTTTCCAACAAACTCTTGACGAAGATGAGAAGAAGCTTCGTGAGCGCCTCGATCAGGAGTTCCTGAAGGACCTTCGAAGCCCAGAAGACGTGTTCAAAGCTATCCAGGCCAAGACGGAGAATTTGAAAGCCAAAGACTACCTATTGTCTACTCTACAGCACCTCCTTCTCATTCGAGAAGATGGACCCGCCTTGACTCACTATTACCAGCTGATAGACTCCATTGTAGCGGATGTTGTGTTAGACAAGAAACTGGCGGGGGCCGAGCACAGACTTGGGCAATCGGTTGAACGCATCATAGCCCAGTTCAATGAGGCTGACCGGTTGCAGGCCATCGAGGATGAGGCAGCCGAGGCCAGGGCTTATGCCCTACAACTGAAGCTTGAGAAGGATGTCCTCGATGCTGAGGTTTCCCAGGGCGTCGATGGGTTGGTTGGTAAGCTCAAGGGGCAGATTGCTCAATTGGAGGAGAAACTGCAGGTTTCTCGTGCCAACACCGCTCGCCTCCAAGGGAAACTCGAGACTCAGAGGGCTGGATATGAGGAACAAATCGCGCAGCTCGAGGCTCAGATCATGGAACTATTTAGAATGCTGAAAGAAGTCGGGAAGGGCGTCGAGAGGGTTTTCGAGAATTCCGGAGGCATGGACAGGAAGTCCCTGATCGAGAATCTCGAGAAACACCTCCACCGTCACAAGACAATCAGCATCCTCGAAGGTCGAGAGAAGAGGAAGCAGAGACGTGAGGGTGACCCAAATGGCCTCGACGAATCCGATACAGAGGATGACGCTGCGAGCGGTTCTAGGAACGGTAGCTTGCGAAGACGACCTGCAAATTCCTCCATGAAGAAACGGACCAAGTCTGCGAGATTATCGGAATCGCAGAACGGGCATCTGTCTCAGTTTATGGATGCTGACGATGCTGAAGCACAAGAACAACTGGAGCAGCAATTTGCTGCTGGCGTCAATATCGTATGTGGTATATTTTGCATCAAGGCGACAAGTTTTCATTATTAAACTTCTCCACTTAGGTCCCACCATCTTCGGGGGCCCGGAGTCTCAGGGGGACGCCGAGACGACCTGGCGGTGGCCGCGCTCTCGCGGACATCTCTTCACCTCTGGCCACGTCGGATGTTATCACGGGTCACGACGGCGATGAAGATGAAACCGAGCCTCGTCAGAGCGGCTCCTCAGGACTAACAGAAGACACTCAGCCTACGTCCGTCAGTGAGGTTGACTTCGCCTCTGGCGAAGGTATGACGTTTGCGGAGCAACTGCGCAAGAAGCTTGCCGACAGGGGGAAACAACCTCCAATTAACCCCAGTCCTGTCACACCATCTCCAGCGCTACCAGAGGCTGGATCGAATCCTCCTCCTCCACCGCCCCCACCCCCACCATTTCCTGGGACGTCCGATGCCCCACCAGAAGATGGCCCCCCTCCGCCACCCCCTCCGCCACCGCCACCTCCCCCTGGTATACCTGGTGTTTTTGGAATAGATGGTATTGACACAGGTGGTCCTCCTCCTCCTCCTCCCCCGCCCCCACCACCACCGCCCCCTCCCGGATTCATCGCTCCCATCCCTGGTTCCACTGGAGGTCCACCCCCACCCCCGCCCCCTCCCCCTCCCGGACCATTCGGTGGACGAACTACGCTCAATGGCAAAATCTCGAACTCTGCCCCTGGCTCTGCTAGAGGCTCAATGATCCTTGGAGCCAATATCAATAACCTCCTCTCTGCTCGTAAGGACTTGTCGATTACTCCGGGTACGAAGATGAAGCAGCTTCAATGGGACAAGATCCCACACCAACAGGCGCAGAACACCGTCTTCAGCGATGATTCAACACAGGAGGAAGAATGGCTTAGGAAACTGCAGCTTGATGGCGTTTGGGTGGAAATGGAAGAGGATTTCAAGGCCAAGCAATTGGTGGTCAACCTTATGGGTTGGTGCTCTCCTTTCGTCCCAGATTTACATTGGAATTGACGGTGAATTAGCTCGACAGAAACAAGCAGAACTCAAGAGCGTGCTGGACCCCAACACCAAGAAGCGCGTTGGTGAGTATCTCAACCGAAACTAGAGTGGAAATAACAATTGACTTGCAGCATAGAAATCCTGACCAAACTCGTCAAGAATTTGAGTCCTGAGGAGATTGCAGCCAAGATCGCTTCATTCGACCATAATGTATGCACGCAACTTTTCTTGTCAGAGCTCAAGCCAATCCTGCCCACTCCCGAACAAGTACGTACGTTTTTTCGTCGAAAGTAGCGCGTCTGATGGTCGCCGCAAGGTCGGAAAACTTAACACCTACCGTAAAGCTCCTCCAGAACAACTGGCGGAACTCCACCCTGCTGACAGACTCATGGTACAACTCATCGAGATCGATCGCTTGGGTCCGCGAGTGGAAGGCATGTTGTACAAGACCGCGTTTGAGGAAAGCTGGACGATGTTGACCGAGGTTCGTATTTCTAAAAGTACTAAAGCCTCCTATCCTTACGCAGGAACTTTCAGAGTGCCAGGAGACTTTCAGAAGCCGGGCAGGCCCTCTCGAATGCGAAACATTTCAAAGAACTTTTGAGCGTGAGTTCATTCAAGTATGTTGGGTGTGAGATCGCTAACCGTAGACCACCAGCTTATCCTACTCATTGGAAATTACATGAACGGGACTGGTGTTAAGGGCGGCGCCTTCGGGTTCAGAGTCAGCAGCATCAACAAGGTGAGATGAGTTATACAGCTCCGAATGCCGTCACGTTGACACATGCTTGATCTAGCTCGTAGATACAAAGTCGGTGAATAATACAACCCTTCTACACTTCCTTGAAAGGACTGTGTCCAAACATTTCCCCGATATGGAAGAGTTCTTGGAAGAATTGGGCCGTCCGTCAGAAGCGTACAGAGGTATATCCAAGCATGGGGTACGACCTTCGGACATGGCGCTGATCCCTGTTATAGACAACCTCCAGGATGTCCGGAAGGACCTCGCAAACTTGCGTGAAGGACTCAAGAAAATTCGTCATGAACTCACAGAGCACTTCGCAAATGTTGAACCGAGCAACCAGTATGGCACCAAGATGTGGGCATTCTTGAAGAAAGCGACCGCTCTGCTCGAAGACCTGGTCGACGACTTCAACGCTGCCGAATCTACGTATTCGGAAGTCGCCCAGTTCTACGGTGAAGAGGAGAAGAACATGACCTCCTCGGAGTTCTACGGAATCTTCAAGACCTTCATAACATCTTACAAGGTGAGCGCGGGAATTGCGAAGCCGTGTCACTCCCGCTGATGAATTCGCAGAAATGCAAGATGGACAACCAGACTTTCGCGGAACAAAAGGCTTCTGCGGAGAAGAGGCGGATAGCCGCCGAAGAGATGAGAGCTGCCAGGCAAAAGGCTCAAGAAGAGGCTTCCGAGAACGAAGATACGTCCGTCCTCGACAATTTACTCGAGAAGCTCCGCAGTGGTGAGAACGTTGGACGCCGGGCTCGAAGAGCACGCTCGAGCGCAGCTACTGCGACGCTTACGGTCGATACGACGGCGCCATTCGACACGGAGGATTTAGCTGGAGCGGCCCGAGACATGCTTGCTCGACTGCAGTCCGACGGTTTCGCAGCCCTGGCACCCACCTCTCCAAAGTCCAATCCTTATTCATCCTCCAGGAGGAATCGTCGGCGGCCGGCAGGCTTGGAGGTTACCCCGGAGTCGCCAAACGAATTGGACAGCGTGACTTGTAACGACTCAATCACTTTGGTAGACCAGCCTGATCCTGATGTTTCGAGGACGGACTCTTTCGAAGGTGACGGCGATGATTCTGTGGGAGATGTTACAATCCGCGTAGATTATTCGTAATCCTTGTTTTATTATGTATTTACTTGTCACACTCTCTTTCTCGCATCTGCTTTCGATATACTAACATAGGTAGATAACTTTTTGCAATACCACTCACTGTACGCGGGGGGATGAGGAGTAAAAAGACGATGACAGGAGCGGGGTTCGAACCCGCGCCACTTGCGTGATGGGGAAGTTTATGCAACTTAAATCCCACGTCTTAGACCACTCGACCATCCTGCCGTCCTCGAGGATTAATTTTCTTTATTCATGAAGAGATAACAATACTCGGGGCAAAATATGTTTCGATTTTCAAACGATGATGTCCGGTATATAGTACAGAAATGCATATCAATACTTTTCTGAGATGACTGAAGAGGGTTTCAGAGCCATGTCGTCTAGACGATGTGAATTCATGCTTACTTAGCGTCACGAGTGAGGTCCATCCCGTGAACGGATGACTCCTTCGACCTTCTCCAGACTGTGAGTTATATTGTTCCCACACGTAGCCGGTCCGTTCATACTCCTTGAAGACATTGTCGATGATATTTGTCCGCAGCTCGTTATATATCTTCTTGGCTTGCTCCCGGTATGGTCCGTCTACAGCGGCGTACTTCTTCTCACGATAAGTGGGACAGGAGCAATAAGAGAGAGAGAAGTACATACCCCGTGAAGTGCGGTGAGAGCCATATAATTCATCGGCATCCAGATCGCGCCCTTCCAATAGTCCTCGCCCTTTCCAAACTCAGGGTGCGACAGTGAAAGACTCCGAATGCCATACGAGGACCATAAGTGCTGAGGATCGCCCATCAAGTCTAACATAGCCCCAAGATGCGGGGAAGTAGGGTCGACAAGCCCGAGAAGGAGAGGGAAAAGTGAAAGGTAGCCACGATGACATTCGTGGTATGACTCGTCTAGAAGCGTGAATCAGGGAGGAGACGTCAGGTTGAGTACTTTAGAAAACGTACCATCTTCGTTGATGCCGAGATCGCAATACATCTGGTCCTGCTCGCTCCAATGTAAATCTGTCAACAAAGACAGTGAGCGTGGGTTCGATGCAGTTCATACATAGTAAGTTACCATCTATGTTCTGGATCATCGCGTTTTCATTCTCAGCGAAGCTCTCAGCATCGTCATCTTCGCCAATGAACTCCGCGATTTCCTTCATGGTTCTACTGAAGAAACCCATCCAAGAGATCAAATCGAGGTGCAATTCACCAGCATGAGCAGGGGCTCTCGGGAAGTCATCCATTCCGCTGGTCAGGACGTGGGTCTCGGAACGGCCTCTCCATCGGTACGCTTCGGGCCTCGAACGCACTTTTCGACCGTATTGTTTGATTTGTCCGCGTTGAGTTCGCCGGAACCACTCATAGTGCCTGCGGAGAGGAACGTAGATGGAGTTCAGGTATGTTCGAGCGACGTCCTGGTCATCGAGGTGGATGTCACGCAAAGTTGAAACACCACGGGCACCATCAGACATTCGCATCTGAGCGGAGTTGTCATCCATTCCCATACCCAAGTCGAAATCAGAGGGTCCCGACGAGCGAGCCTTCAACCTGTTAATAAAGGCTGTGACGGCCATGGCGAGGGTAGGTGGATTCGCAAAAGTCGATACTTGGGTTTGAAACTCTTTCGGTACCTGAAGGGAGGCCGTCAGGGTGTAGAACCAGTACAACAACAAAAGGCACAAACACGGCTACGCGCTTCTTCGCCTAGGATTTGCTCCCGTCCTACCCAGCCGTCTTCATCAATTAGGTTGATCCAATCCTTGAGTATTTCCAGACTGAGGGCATTGTCCCAAGCCCCGATGTGCAGTAAATGAAAACCTTCGTCCCTGCGTCCGGTGAAAAACTGAGATCCTATTATAAATTTGACGCACACACCAATAGAATCCCCTTGGGAAGAAGCTTCTGCTTGGAGTCGCAGTGAGTAATCCCTTTGGTGTCGTGAGCTTGGGACCCCGTGGTTTCTCGTCCGTTTCTTCGTCTTCTTCGTCCCACTCGTAGGCAAATCCGCGATCTTCGATAGAAGAACCATAGAAATAACCGATTCCACCCAGTAAATTCGAGGTGATGGCTTGGGAAAACTGCTCTGCTGTGTGATTGCTGGGTGGGATAGGGAAAGTCGATTTGAAACGAGCAGCGAACGCCGAAGTCAAAGCTAGGATTCCTTGATCCAAACTCTCGGCTGCGTCATAGATATTAGAGTCGTCTAAAATGCAAGGACAGAGGCATCCTACAGTCGAGGTTATGGTTCGCACTCGCGCTCTCGTAGAATACGTCGAACTGGAAGGGTCCACTAAACGTTTTCTGGACGGCGAAAAGGTTACTCCCCGGCTGAACGTTGTTTGAGACCTGTAAGGTGAAAGAGGGACTGGGAACCTTGCCCTTATTTTCCTGCGAGCGGAAGGGCTCCAAAATCTCGCCTGTTCGAGCAAAGATCTGATCCATGATGTACTCTGACGATCAAAGTCAGCGTCGAATGCATGGGATAGTAGATTGCACATTCACTTTTCGCTTGCCAAACGTTTCCCGGCTCTACTCGGTATCCAGCAAAACTTGTCCTTCCAACAGCATCACCGATGCGAGACGCCTCGTCAACATAAACGTTTCCTGGGCCGTCCTCGATGCGAATTGTGAAGTCGTCCAAGTCTGGAGTGAAACCGGCGAAGGTGACTGGACCGTCAAAACCCTGGAATTTGGTCGATGAGTGTACGTTTCCTCCACACCAGCCTGAGAATGCATCAGCGAACCTGGGGCACTGGCTCATTTTGCATCTCAAGGCCACCGAGACCCTCGAGGCCAGAGTAGAATACTGTGGAGATATGCATGGGGTTTGCTGTGAGGAATTTATTTTGTATGAGCCTTTCGATTTGTCGTGTTGAGTCCGTCCGCCAGAACTCACAAGTGTCCATTGGTTCTCCCTTGATTCTGGCAGCCCAGCTGCCACCATTCTTTCCACCTGGGACCTTCAGAAATTCAGTGGTAATCTTCACATTGTTTTGGGAGTCCTTGATTTCCTGTATGCCTCCCTCACGAGGGTCGTACTGGGTCCAAGTGTAACTATCCAGCCTATCATCCTGTTCGCATGCGTGCCTTGACCCTTGAGGAGCAACAATCAATACATGAGTGTTATTTCCCCTGACCAGAATCGGAAGCGTACTCTGCACGGATTGGTAGTTCGCGGTGCTGAACCATATGAGACCTGTCATCAACGACTGAGGCAGCCGAGGCCGGATGCCAAAGTACAGATTCGGCCTGTATGGCCCCCATAACAAAGACTGGTCGGTTTCGTCAACGGGTGTGGAGAATGCGGCGGTAGCGACCGCGAGTAGCAGCAGAAAGAGCTGCATGCCTGGAGACGTTTAAGCAGCAGCCCAAGGATGGTGATGATGTCGTGGCACGCGGATTCGATCACTCGCTTAACGGTACGCGGGAACGAACTCAGTTCTAAGGCTAGTAGTCCTCGGAAAAATCGCCTGCAATCCGGATACATGCAATGTCATTGTACATAGGAAGAGTAGATAAATGAATGTGGTCATTAACGATTGGAAATCCTAGGAGGGAAAAATTGGTATAACCGATGATGAAAAGTTGCAAGGGATTTGCATGTCAGATAGGAAGGCGAAAGATAGGACTAATTGACTTCGATCTGGGTTCCGTGTCCTCTGAACGAAGTCATGGTAAAATCGTTGGGGTCAAAAGAAAGGGAGTCGAACTGGAGGGAATCAAGTCTCATCTCGAGACTAAATTCGTTGACATAGGAATCTTCTTCCTTTACCATGCTAAGGGATGCAGTGGGTTGTATTTCTCCATAGTCTTCCTCCTCGTTGTCATCGTCTCCTGAACGAGACATGGTCCAGCTGCGCTTCGAAGAAGATTTGGAGGACCGTCTTGCCAAAGATGTTGTCGTGGGTAGTGGAGTCGGAGGGACATCAGAGGGAGGATCTTCGAAAGAGGTAGTAGACGGCGTAGATGTTGTACTGGTTGTGCTGACGGTCGAGGACGAACTGAACAAGCGAGGAAGTTCTAGAAGAGATAGACGCTTGCGGAAAGAAGTTGACTTGGGACGCAGAGAATCCGGCGAGGCAGGAGAGTCACCGTAATGGATAGGTGAAGTGGGTCTAGATGGTCCAGGTTGTGGGCTGGGGGAGAAAGCTCGAATGGAGCCCAGCATGGAAGACTGCATGGAGGGCCTAGGAGAGGTCGGCGACAAGGGCGGGGAAGCAGTCGAAAACGCCGGAGATGTGGGTCGTATGGTAGTGGTCGGAGATGGGGGAACAGCATCCGTGGTAAGCTCTTCCTGGTTCGAGCGGAAAATTTGGCTGATGGGACTGGTGCGTCGCTTGGGCAAGGTATTCTTCCCTGCCCGGGAGGCAATCGAGGGGGTGGTAGGTCCGGCGTTTTCGCCCTTGCTAGACGGCTGATTGGTGGCAGCCTGGGCTGTCGTGGGCTGCTTGCGTGATGGTCTCCCGACGTTTTTTATGGACCGTAATGCTTGAGATGCACGAGCCCTGAACGTTTTGGACTTGGACATGTGTTCTTTCTTGCTAGCGATGGAAGGTATTTCCTTCCCAACCTTGTAGACTTCAATATCATCCTCGTCCTCTGACCTGTCCAGAGCGAATGTGGGAAAAGGCGCCTCTTCAGAACTACGGACGGGCATGACCACCTCGTCCGAGGTACGGAGAAACACGGGTGCGGTGTTCGCAATCTGCTGATGCACGTTGAGAGCAATGTCGACCGACTCGATATCGGGTTCGGTGGCGAGAGCGGCCTTCGAGGCGTCGAAGTAGCAAAAGGGTGGAGTCTCTGCTTGTTCTTCCTCTGGGGGGATGACGAAAACGTCTGGCATTTGTACACTGTCGAAAGAAGATGGCGGAACTGCGAGTCCAGGTGAATCAAATGAGCGTGGGGTGTCCATAACAGAGTCTCGGAGGGGGAGGAGGGAGAACAAGGTGTTGGTTCAAGAAATGTTCAACCGCTAACCTTCCTTATTTGTACATCCCGAACTACCCGACGCGTCTCAGTGACAGTTATACACGTTCTGTTAACCGACTACGGCCCTCTAGGATAGCCCGAGCAATAAGTTCATTAAATTCCCTCGGCCACTGGAGTTGTATCGCATGCCCAGTGCCAGGAAACTCCACCAGCTCAGCCTCAGGCATGTTCGCTTTAATAAACCTGCTTCGTTGCGGGTCCACCAGGTGATCCTCATCCCCAGTTGCAATCAAGACCTTGGGT